GATGCCCGGGGTCATCGGGGCTGAAAAATTCTCACCGCGTAGATTGGGCCAGAAAGGTTGCGCCGAATAGATTGCGCCAAGTGGCTCGCACCGCGCATATTGCGCCGCATAGGTTGCGCTACATCTACAGAGTTACGTGGTCTGCACCGCGTAGGCAGCATCGCGTATACTGGACAACGCACTGTGCGGGGCGCGCGCTGGCTAACATTTTCTGGCTCCCCTGGCAGTCGGGGCAGCGCCAGAAAATGCTCGCAGACTTCGCGTGGGGGTGAGTGTGCGTTGGCAATGGACGACGACGACGACGAGGGCGACGACGACAACGGCGACGACGACGACGACGGCGGCGACGACGACGGCGGCGGCGACGACGACGACGGCGACGGCGACTTCCCCCTGCCCCCCGGCTTCCGGCCCTGGACGCCGGCGGAGCGCTGGCAGAGTTCCGTGTCGTTCTCGCGGGGTGACGACGACGACGACGACGACCGCGACGACGCTGGCGGCGGCAGCGGGGACGACGACGACGCTGGCTAACATTTTCTGGGCCTCCTGGCAGTCAGTGCAGCGCCGGGAAATGTTCACAGGCTTCTTGTGCGGCTGAGCGTCCGTCGGTAGACGACGACGAGGGCGACGACGACGACGGCGACGACGGCGGCGACGACGACGGCGGCGACGACGACGACAGCGACGACGACCCCCCCCCCTGTCCCCTGAGTCCGGGCCCGGTCGCCAGCAGAGCGCTGGCAGGGTCCCGCGTCGTTCCCGCGGGGCGACGACGGCGGCGGCGGCTGCGGGGGCGACGACGACGTTGGCTAGCATTTTCTGCCGCCTGGCAGTCAGGGCGGCGCCAGAAATTGTTCGCAGAGTTCGACGACGACGACGGCGCCGCCCGCGGACGGCCGGATGTGCTGTGGCACGCTCCGGATTGCGATTGGCCGTGCCTCCGCTCTGGTCCGGGCTATCCTGGACGTTGTCGTCGTCGTCGTCGTCGTCGTCGTCGTCGTCGTCGTCGTGTCGCAAGTTGTCCGTCGTTGTCGTCGTCGCCGCCGCCGTCGCCGTCGCCGCCGCCGCCGTTGCTTCGAGGTTCAAGGATCGAGGTTTGAGGTTCGAAGCTTTGTGGGCGTTTGGCCTTTTGCAGGCCACAGGGGTCCCCCGGAGGCCCCCAGCGTGCGCTTCGTGTGGGTGCTGCGTGTGAGCTCGTAATGGTTTGGACGCGGAGGATGTCGTCGTCGTCGTCGTCGCCCCCGGCTGGGCCGCCCCGCCCGCCGGCTCGGTTCGGCCTGCGGAGGGGGATGAGGGGGGGGGGGGGAGGAGGGGGTCAAGGAGGAAAAGGGGGAGGATGCATGATAGGAGGAGGGGGGTGAGGAAGGGGGGCCCGTTTCGCGTGAGATCCCTGGAAGCCCGGTCTCCGATATGCCTTGACTGGAACGTCCTCGCCAGTCCGGGTTCCAATGTGCATTTCTCGAAAGGTTCTGGCCCGATTCGCGTGAGACATCCTCGGCGTTCTGGGCCCAAGATGCTTGGACTGGAGGTGATCTGGCCACCTTCGCCTGAGACATCCTCGCAAGGCGTGGTCTGGCCACGTTCGATCGGCATGAACGCCACTATCACCATCACCATCACCATAACCATCGCCGTCATCATCGTCCTCGTAGCCGTCGTCACCATCGGGCGATAAGACGATAATGCGATAATGCGATGATATTGTTTCATCGTCTTATCGCCTTATCGTTTTGCGTATGTCGTTTTATCGTCTCATCGTCTTATCGTCGGGGAAGTCCATTTATCGTCTTATCGTCTTATCGTCTTATCGCTTGCACCCGTTGTCGTCTTAGCGTCTTATCGTCTTATCGTATGATCTTCTTATTCATGCGTACGTACGTACATACCCACATACGTGCATACGCACATACGTACATACGAGGGAACGCGTTTCACGGGCGCTTGCCTTGGGAACATTCAGCGGCACGTTTGAAGGGGGGGGGGACCCGAACACTCGGCGTGGCGCCGTCGAACAGAACCAGGGGGGACCCCCCTCCAAACCTCCCCGACCCCCCCCCGCCTTCGCCGCGGACCTGGCCGCAATGCGGTGCAAGCTATCGTGCCCCCTCTGTCCAGGCCGCGTGGCCCATAGACTCCGAGGAAACCGTGCGCCTGGCAGCCGAGTTCAGCGGTTCTTCCCCGTCGTCCCCTTCCTCCCGTTCTCGCCTCTCCGAGGCGGGACGCAGCCTAACCTTGCTGGGGTGGGTCTGCTCTCCGCCGCCTCCTGTCCCTTCTGCGCCCGCCCCCAGATGCTGGCGATACTTTGCGTCAGCGCCGGTGCACGTGGAGGTGGCTGGTGGAGGGCGCCCCGGTCTTGCGGGCCGCCCCATTTACTAGGGAATCGCCAGCGAGCCCGCACTGTCTTTTATAGTGGGCCGCCTGCGATTACAGCGGGGCCAACTAACTGTCTTCAGCATGCTGTGTCTTCCTCTTCCGAGCTCAGGCGCATTGCAGTCTCAGAGCACTTTGCGTTTCTGCCCTTCTTCCTCCTTCTTCCTTTCCCCTCTTTCACTGCGGCTCCCTTTTCTGTGCCTGACTGGGGTGAGTCGGGTCCGAAGCCAAATCTCCGCGTCCCCCACCGCGGGAAAAGAGCTACGTTTTGTTGGGATAGTGCTTTCCTGGGCAGTGGCGGAAAATCGCCCGCGCACCGAATCCGTGACATTGGTTGGTGCCCGTGCAGTCCAGGCTGGAGTCGTCCGCCAGTGGTGTTGCAGGCAGCTGACGGCGAGTGTTTTCTGGCTGGTGCTTCGCGCGTTCCCGGTCCTTTCCCTTCCCTCCAAAAGAACGGGACAAAAACAGTATTTCAAATAGTACTAAACATCAGCATAAGAGAACGAATGCGAATACGAATAATAGTAATAACAATAATAATATGAATTATCATAATAATACTAGTAGCAATAATAATACACATCATCATATTACTACTACTACTACTACTACTAATACTAATTTTATTAATACGACAAACACTATGTGTACACATAAGAGTATTAATATTACGAATACGAATGCTAAGGACGAGTAGTACTAATACGATTCGGAGTAATCACAGTACGCATACTATGTAAGTTAATCATAACACTAATGATCAATTCCTAACGAGAAAAGCGAATTATGGTAATCCGGGCTACAAAGACTAATAGTAGTAGTAATTATGCAAATCAGGAGTAGTAGCAAGAATAGGAATGATAAACATACTAAGAACAATAACCATCTTAATTGTATAAATAAGAAGAGTAATCGAGACCAGTAGTAATAATACGAATCATAATAATACCACTGATAAAAGGAAGAAGAGTAGCACACAGAAAACAGCAATACAAATAATCGTACGAATTACACGAATAATATGAAGAAGCTTAATACTACCAATACTATTACTAGCACTAATAAGCATAATGCCAATAGTTATAGGAACAGGAGGAGGAGGAAGAGGAGGAGGAGGAAGAGTCGGACGAGGAGGAGGGGGAGGACGAGGAGGAGGACGAGTAGGAAGAACTCCAACAAATCAAGAAGCGGAAGAACAGGCAGGAGGAGGAAGCCTTACTCATCTGTTGATCCAGCGATCCTTTTATTTCCTGTCTTCTCTCTTTTCGCCTCTCCTGTCTGTTTGCTTCCGTTCCTCCTTCCCTGCCTCCCTCCCTCCCCTCTCCTTCTCTCCCACCTTCCCCTTCCTCCTTCTTCGACCACAACGACGGCGGCGACGACGCCAATGATGATGTTGACGCCAGGATTGTGCTTGCCTGTCATGAGAGTGGATGGAGCTATAGTTCATGATGCTGCTGCTGATGATGATGAGGTCTTCGGAGTTGACTGGAACCTAAGCGCGTAGCGCGCGTGTGGTTATAGTATGTATGTCTGTATGTCTGTCTGCTTGTCTGTCTGTATGTATGTATGTGTGATTGTTTGTATATGTGTATGCATGCATGCATGCATGCATGCATGCATGCATGCATGCATGCATGTATGTATGTATGTATGTATGTATGTATGTATGTATGTATTTATGTATGTATGTATGTATGTATGTATGTATGTATGTATGTATGTATGTATGTATGTATGTATGTATGTATGTATGTATATGTATGCACGTATGCATGTATGCATGCATGTATGTATGTATGTAATGTATGTAGGTGTGTATGCATGTATGTATGTATGCATGTATGCAGGTACGCATGTTTATGTTTATGTGTATGCATGTTTATGTGTCTGTATGAATGTATGCATGCATGCATGCATGCATGCATGCATGCATGTATATAAGTATGTATGTATGCATGTATGTATGCATGCATGCCTGCATGTATGTATGTATGTATGTAATGCATGTATATGTGTATGCATGTATGCATGTATGCATGTATGCAGGTATGCATGTTTATGTGTATGTATGTATGTATGCATACATGCATGCATGTATGTATGTATGTACGTATGTATGCATGTATGTATGTATGGTTGCATGCATGCATGTATGTATGTATGTATGTATGCATGTATGTATGTATGTGCGTGTGCATGTATGTACACATGTATGTCGGTAGGTAGGTATATATATATGTATATATGTATGTATGTATGTATGTATGTATGTATGTATGTATGTATGTATGTATGTATGTATGTATATAGATGTATATATATAGATATATGCATGCAGTGTTTGTGGAAGCTGGTTCGCAGGGTCCCGTATATTATACGAATTCTGAAGGAAAGGAAGCTGTGTACAATCATTATGCTCATGTGTCGATGTGTATTTTTATACACATATGAAAAATAGCATAGACAGACAGCCTTCCATAGCCGGTTGCTCGGCCGAGAAGATATGCTTTGGCGTAAACAGGTGGCGGCGTGTGGATTGCTCGGCAACCAGTGGTGGATGGAGAGGGGGGGATGAGGACAAGTATGCGCGCTGTGCTTCTTCTTTGCGCCCTTTCTTCGTTGCTGGTCAGGACGACGTGTTCCCGTGGTTCCACCTGGTGCCCTTGGGGGGGCCGAGCCGCTCTCTAGCTGGACGCCTGCGACGCGGGCGCGTGCTAAACTATGACCAGGATTGGGATCATTTCTCCAGAGCGTTCCAGAACGCTGTGAGACGGCCGCGGCGCCCGATACATCCCTCCCGCCGGATCTCAGAGATTCCCGATTTCATCCCGATCTGACTTGGTCCCGATCGTGCCTCAGTTTTGCTCGGCGTCGCGCGCAACAGGGGCAGCGCGTGAGGGGGATCCACGGGGGGCAGGTGCAGTGGTCGGCCGAGGACGCCAAGGCGAACTGCGTCTTCAGGCGGGCGGCCCCAGCGAAAGCCCGCCGCGAGCCCGCGCCGCGCGCGGCGTGGCAGGGCGCACGCCTGTCCGCCCACCCTTGAGGAGGAGGAGGAGGAGGAGGAGGAGGAGGAGAAAATCGAGTATGAGGATGAGGCTCGATGGGAAGGCGCATGGAAGGCAGCCGGCTCGATGGGAAGGCGCATGAACGGAAGTGCTTGACAGCGCCCCGGACCGACGCCAGGCGTCCGGGGCGGAGATTGCCAGGGCATGCAACGTCTGCTGATTGAGTCGAGGTTCGTGCATAGTAATAATTATAGCATTAATAATAAGATGAACACGAAGAAGAGCACTCGTATGAGTACTACGACTGAAAGGAGGAACACTACTAGCACTGATCATACTGTTACTGTTGATCGTACGGACAAGAGTAATATTATGAACAATGAACGAATGCGAACAATGCTATGATTTTGGTAGTGTTAGTTATAAGAGTATTAATATTAGCACAGAACTAATAAGTATAAAACTGATCATATCAATATTTCTAGCAATGGTACTTGTAGTAATGCTACTACTCGTATCATTACTCGTATCAGTAAAAGTATTGCTCCGACTACTAATACTATTGTACAAGGGAGAATGCGAAAGCGAACATTAATAACAATACTTCTAGGAATACTAGAACACATGGTAATACTATGGATGTAACTCGTCATGAGGTCTCTCGTGCTCAACATAATAAGAACACGAATCTTAAGACTACTGCTAACAATCATAACAAACATACCACTACGAAACTAATGATAATAGCAACACTGATAATACTACGAAAGAAAACAACAGTAAATCATACCATCGATACGAACGATATTAATGACACTAAAGAATATTAATGAACATATGAAGAAGTGGAGGAGGAGAAAGAGGAGGATGAGGAGGGAAAGGATGAGGAGGAGGAGGAGGAGGAGGAGGAGCAAGAGGAGGAAGAGGCCTTCTCAGAAGGCGGCGGGGCTTCTAAGAAGCCCTCCGGCCTTCCGTGAAGTCTCCCGCGTCCTTGAGGAGGGCTCCGATCTGTTTTTTGGTCAGAAGGCCAAAGGCCTTCCGAGCCCTCGGAGAAGACCCTCCCCGTCCGACTTCCCCCAGGTTCGCGGCCACTCCGCACCTCCCTTCGCGTCTACATCCGCCATCCTCCCTTCTCCGAGGCGGACATGCATACGTAATCAGCCCGAGCAGACGGGGTCGGAGGATCGCGCCGCTTCGCCTAGGTATCGGCGATGTGGCTTGATGGGGATATTCTCCATGCCGACGTCGCCGATGCATCGCCGATGTATCAGCGACGCGGCGCGATCTTCCGACCCCATTTCCTCAGACCCCGTCTGGGGGGCCTCTATGAGCCCAAATGCATTGTTATCCACCTCCCCCTGGGGTCCCAGGACGTCGGTTCCACGTGCGTTACATGCGCATACGCTCCCGCCTCGCACCTTCCCCTCCCGCCCCGCCCTGTCCGCCACAGGTGCCCCCCCCCCCCCTCCGTCGCGCTGCCCCCCTCGAGCGGGGCAGCCTTGGGAGGGCCCCGTGTTCCCTCTTATCTCCCAGAGAGCTAAGCTCTGAGGCGTGAATTTATACATGACCACCGCCTCTGGAGGATCCATTTGCGGGGACCTCGGCAGGCGGTGTCCATGGATCTATTCGGCCCCCCGGGGGGCCAAAAGACATCCGTATCCACCGCCTGCTGGGGCACCAGGACGTCGGTTCCCTGGCGGTGGATACGGATAAATCCCCCGCTCGCATAAGAGGGTTTCAGCTTCTAAGCCGGCTGGCTAGGGTAGCCCCAGAGCTCGTTCAGGCTTCCAGAGCTCCCGGAGCTCCTTCGAAGGACCTTCTGAAAGTTTCTGTCGCTACGCTATCCCGGTTTTGGACACCACAAGTTTGCTGGCCGTGGGCAGCCGTTTCCGGACGGGGCTAGGGCGAGGATAAGTCCGTTCCAGAGCGCTCTCAGAGCGTTCCGGAAAGCTCGCAGAGCGTTCGGGGAACTCTTTGGGAAGGCCGCGGCGCCCGATGCATCCTCCAGAGCCGCCAGATCTCAGAGATTCTCGATTTATCTGCACCCGTCTGTCGTGAGCACCGGTTGTCGGAGGTCCGCGCGGATCTCGCGCGTCGAGTCCAGAGAGGCGCCGCCAGGAGGGCCCCTCTGCGCGGGGTCCAAGAGGTCCGCGCGGGCCTCCGAGGCCCGAGCGGGCCTCCGGGCCCCTTCTGTTCGTGCCACTCCTGGACAACACACGCGGCGAACCAGCAGGGAACACACAGGGCGCACCTTAGATTCTCCGATTATATTATCCTCGTCTCGGCTTCGTCTTATCGGCAACACCCCAACATACTTATACTATATGTGCGTCGCCCGCACCGAGAAATCCTATAGTATATGCGTCGTGGCGGGCGCTTCCTGGCCACACCGCTCGGGAAACGATGTACTACAAGATGGGTATACTATATGTTCGGGTCGGACGCGCGCCTCCAAGGAGGACATATAGTATTAGTATGTCCATGTGCGTCCCGATTTATATTGTCCTCGTCCTGGCTTCGTCTTACGTCTGGTCCATCCTCCGCGCCCGAGGGGCCTGCCGAAGCTCCGCCCCGAGGCGGAGCCGTGCCTCTGGGCCGCTCTCGCGCGGCCCCCCGCCCTTCTCCGGCGGCCCCTCCTCGAGCGGGTGTCGAGGCCTCTCCTCGAGGGCCTCGAGGCCGGTGGCGGAGGAGGAGGAGGAGGAGGAGGAGGAGGAGAAGGAGGAGGAGGAGGCTCTCCTCTCTCTCTCTCTCTCTCCCCGAGCAGCCCCTCCGCAAGAGGGTCTCGAGGGCCTCTCCCCAATGCCTTGAGCCCCGCCTCGAGAGGGTCTCGAGGGCCTCTCCCCGATGCCCCGAGCCCCCCTCGCGAGGGTCTCGAGGGCCCTTCCCGATGCCTCGAGCCCCTCCTCGAGAGGGTCTCGAGGGATCTGCTAGTGGGCTTCGAGGTTCAAGGTTGTCGGACGTTTCGTTGGTCATTGGCGGCTTTCCAGCCTCGGGATGCCTTCAAGCAGCTGCCCCTCGCCGAGAGTGTTCAGGGGGTACCTGGATCTTCCACAACGGCCGCAAGAGGCCCGAGTTATGGCCCGAACACCCGGCGGATCAGGGGCAGCGTTGGGGGTGGATAGGCTCAGTAGGGGATGCATCGACCCCCAATCGCTCATTAGTCGTCGCTAGGGGCCCAAGAGCCCACCCCGCCCGGGACCGTGTGGGTTCGCCATCGGGGGCCTGTCGTCGATCAATCGGCGACGCAGCGCCGATTCCAGGCCAATGCTTCCCCCCCTGCGCCAGTCCTGCCCCTAACGTTGCCCCTCAACGTGTGCATCACGACAGTAGGTTCGTGTCGTGTCGACACGGCTGCGACCCCAGCGCGGGCATGCACGGTTGCACGCCGTCGGTAACCCAGAGCCGGCCAGTGTGGAAAGGTGTGGCGATCAAAAAGCCGCCGATCGCTAAGACCGGAAGACCCACGCGGTGTCAGAAGCCAGTGCCGGGGTCGTCACGACGCAAACTTGCCGTATCATTCGGCGGCAGGCCCAGGGGGGAAGTGAGAAGGGGCAGGCTCTCTCCGAGGGCGCGAGGGCTTGTGAGCAGATGCCTGGCCCTCGATGGGGGTCTCGCACTTGGTCTCGAGGTCTCTGCCGTGTGTCAGGGGCTCGCCTGGTTTTTCCCCGCACCCCTTTCCGCTTCCCGTGCCCCAACTCGTTCCCGACGTGTCCCGCCCGCAGCTCCAGGGAGATAGAGCCATCCTTAGTCGGCCACGCGCAGGGGGCGGTAGGGGGAGGGCGGATCCTCTCGAGTCACGAGACGTTTTTTTTTTTTTTTTTGTTGTTTTTTTTTGTGTGTTTTCTTTGTTTGTTATTGTATGTTTTGATATTTTCGGCCTCTGGGGGGCCTTCTGGGCCTCGGGGTCGTCAAAAACGACTCAGCATGGGAAACCGGTCCTGGGGAATGGGTCGAAACATTTTGGGGTCGACATTCTTAAACATTCATGGCGACGGGGGGTTTAATTAGAAGCACCCCTGCTTCTTAGAATGGCGCGGGCCTCGTCTACGGATTTAGGGCCAGCGGCTTCTAAGACGCAACCGACGAAGAAGCCTTCCCTCTCGCCCTACCCCCTTGTGCGCGTCTGCAACTGAATGTGAAGAAGGACGAAGAAGAAGCGGATGAGGAGGAGAAGGAGGAGGAGGAGGAGGAGGACCAGTGTGTGAATCCAAGAGAAGTCAACGATGTTGGAATAAACCCTCCCTTTACGCACCCTCTTCATAGGCCCCTACAACGGTTTATTCTCACTGAGGGAACTGGCTCGTTGGAACTCAACCGTTTGAAGACCCTGAAGCCTAACTCCAATGCCACGGATCAACCTGACTGTTGCGTCTGGACGATTCTGAATCGTGTCAGAACGCCACTCCTGGGACGTTCAACCGCGAATCAACGTATTCCTGCACCCTCATAATCCCAACCTTTCCAAAACGCCATTTCTGGTACTCTGATCATGGGAATCCGTGAAGCTCTTGGAACTGTCATAAACGAACGTGCGCGGCGGTAAGGCGAGAGCCATGTTTTGAAAAGGAACCGCCCTCAGTCCGTGTAACTCTTGCATATTTATGTGCGCTGCGCTAAGGCGAGAGCCACATTTTGAAAACCACCCGCCCTCAATCCGTGAAGCTCTTGCACATGTTCAGAACTAGTGTGCGCGGTTCTACGGCGAGAGCCACATTGTGAGAACCACCCGCCCTTTATCTGTGAAGCAGTTGCTAATTTTTCAGCTTCATGATCTTTACTTGTGAGGACGTCTCAGGCGAAACGCCCAGCCCGCCCTAAAAACTGGCCTCGGGGTGCGACAGGGAGAAGCTATTTATAAGGAAAAGGAATGGAGGAGGCGGAGGAGGAGGAGGAGGAGGAGGAGGAGGAGGAGGAGAAGGAGGAGGAGGAGGAGAAGGAGCCAGAACCCAAATCGAG